CTTGCATAAAAACTCTAATAAAAAGGGGGCCTTAATGTAAAGGGAGGATAAGCGCATAAAACCTAGGAGACCCTGGGAAAACCCTTAAAAGAGGAGAAAAGGGGGTTTTAAAACACAGAGGAGGACGTTTCAAAAGTAAAGTTCCAAGCGGGGGTGAGTGAGGCCCGGGGGTTTTACCTGCGGTTTCCTTTTTTATGCAACTAGATTGTGAGGTGCCTGGAAGAAGACTGTAGGCTAAATATCAACCAGAAATAAAAGAATAATAGGGGATTCCTGGGACAGGGTCTGAGATTGGAGGAGTTAAAAGTTCAGGAGTTTCAGGGAAATAAGTTTAAAAAATTCCCAAACCACAGCATGAAAGGTATAAAAATGATCAAAGGGAAGTGTGGTCTAAGTACAACCCAACATCAGCGGTATTACTGATTATAAGAAGTTAATGTGTCAACACAGGAAAGGTTACCCCAGAATGAGAGAATCCCAGGGAATAAGTGAAAAAAACGGTGAATCGGAAATAAGTCTGACGATAACAGCCCCATGACTTTCCTTGGGGCCCAGTTTACAACAGTCATATGGAAGGTATGGAACCAAGAGAGCTGGAAAGAGATATGCAATTAACCTAATAAAAAAAGAAATGGCGGACGATGTTTAAAGGTTTGGAAAATTCAATAAAGCAATGAGATGGGGATGATAATTGAAGATAGAAAAGAACATAAAGAGATTGCTTTATAGGATGGAAAGAAAAAAAAAAATAGAGAAAAAAAAAAAAAATCAGAAAAAAGGAAAAACCGGAATTGAAAAAAAAAAAAAAGATCTAAAAGAGATAAAAAAAAAAAAAAAAAACTTTATAAAGGATAAATCGGATGAGGAGATGTTTATTTAAACTGGATGAAGTATTTACAGGATTGGGAAGTACCACAAGGAAAATGGGGTATAAAAACCAAGAGACAAAAATTGTTAAATTTCACAACTATGGAGATAGAGAAAAAAAATATGGAAAAAAGATCAAAGGAAAGATCAAAATTAATATGGTGGGAAAAATATCCAAATTTTTGCAGATTTGACAGCAGAAACTCTGAGAAGGAAGAGAGCACTGAAACCCCTATTGGAAACGATGAAGGAAATAGAGAAAACAATAGATAAGGGGATATCGGGGAAAAAAAGGGGGGACGGTAAGCGGTCATGAGTCGAAAAAAAATAGAGGGATCAAAAGTGGAATATGATCCAAAGGCATAGGAGGCCTGGGAGGGGTGGGGAGGTGGGAGGGAGGGGGGGGGGGAGGAGATGGCAGGGGGGGAGGT